TTGGGACAACGTAATAAGGTAATTCTTAAAAAAAAAACCATGGCAAATCAATTGGATATCATGTATTTTTTTTTTACAATTGAAAATGAATTTCATTTATCCACTAGCCTAAATACCAGAAAGCTTATAAAATTTCCAAAACCATCTGGTTCCACCTCATTTGTTTTATGTTCTTTGTTTGAAAATCTTCACATTTGTAAACTGAGATCCATGCAACCATGTGGAAATATAAATATTATGGTTTAATAAGGATAAAATTAGAGGAACTCAAACTATTGGCTAATTTAAATGATTTTTATAAGATCTCTATGCTAAAAATTTTACATTTAGCAATAAGAACATCACTTATCAGCTTCTCCTAGAGTTACAGTTTTTGAAACCAAGCCTGTGGTTCCTTTCGTATCAGTCCACTTGCTGGTGGGGTGACATGCGTGGGGTTTTCTCTCCTGTCAAAGTTCCCTCCAGGGGCTCACAGATGGGAAGCAGACCAGTTTCCTTACTTATTAATAGATTTAGATTTCTGTTATGTCAAGGTGCCAATTAATGTCCTCAAAGATGGCATGCACAAATATATCATAAACTGTGTCTCACTTTTGAGAAGATGAAAAAGAAGTCAAACTCAGACACCTTAGAATTCTGACTCATTTTCTAGATCAGAATTGGGTAAGTTTGCCTCCCAGAGCAGGAACATAGGAATTCTTCTTCAACTAATTTTATTCTATTCCTTTCCCTCTCTGAAATGTCCTCTGAGCTTACTTGTCCTTCCCTTCACTCCCACTGTTGTCAAGGTGAGAACTTGGCCTCCCCTCAGCCCACCTTTGCAGAGAGCTCCCTGTGCTCCTCAAGCTGGGCTTGCCTCAAGCTCAGAGTTCTGTTCTCTTCTTGCATCCTCAGCCTTTACATGTCCTGGTTGCAAAACTTTTTATTTCACAGATGTTGAGCCTAAGGCTGCCAATGTATACACCATCCAGGACACTCAGATGCTACTGTAATTCTTTCATAACATAAGTGAGTTATTCTTACTGGGGTGAGGAAGAGAGAAGGGAGGTGATTCATTTTCCTTGGACAGGTTTTCTTTCACTCTAATAATCACCCAACCCATGGGTGGAGGCTTGATCAATGGCTGCTTCCTTTTTTGTTGAGGTCAAACATCAAACTAGTGGTCTGCCCATAGTTTGTGAGAAAGTAAACTCATAACAGTTGGGCTCCCCAACCCCCTTCCCTATAGTATTTTGAAACTACCTCCAAAACCCGGACAAGACTTCTCTCCTGTCAAGTACCCAAAGCAGGCATATGTTTCTACAGGTAGTGGGGGTGTCAGGACAATTCACTCTTAGTAAGCCTGCTGTTTCTTCTGATTCCATACTTTCTTCTCCAACCCACACCAAAGCAGCTAACAATCAATGTTAAAACATCAGGAATGATCAAGCAAGCATATTAATGAATAATATTGACTTATTCATTGGCTGTTTTTTAATGGTTAGAAGACTAATAAAGGCTCTACCCCAAACCAAAAGAAAAACACAAGTCGTCTTCCACAAGAGCAAAAATTGGAAATTTTCTGTATGTGTATGTGTTTTTCTTAGCTGGCAGATTTGTTTTAGGAAACTATTTGCAGAGCCTGGAAAAATGTGCTCCCTCCGTCCCTTAAAAGAACACACAGGTTGGTTCAATCAGTCATCCATGTGACAATTCTGACTGGTGATCTTTTCAAACATGCAGCCCTGTCAAGATTAGCATCAAAACAATATCTTTAAACTTGAGCTTTTGTTCTTTTACAAAACCAAATATTGCAATGTATGCTTTGTTTTCACTTGAGGAGGCTTTCATTAAAATTTGTTGTTTTAGGGAGAAGAAAGTATGTTTGTGGGAGGCACTGTTTAGCATTCTCTTATTATTTTTATCTGTCACCGCCTCTTTAGAAGGTGTTAGTTAATTTGGTTAATAAAATCAAAATAGTACCCCCCCCAATTATTTCTTTTAGTTCTCAGTTTTTATACTTAGTGGCAGGTTGGATTGACTCCAAAGAGGCTATTTTTGATATTAAGACTGTTTTCTAAAGCTACTTGTTATACTGTATTCCTCAGTCCAGGAGAATAACCTTGGGAATTAGTTAAAAGGAAAAATTTTACAAGGTAAAGTCGTTTTTCAAGGAAATTGCATGTTCAACTCTCACTGAATACCTGACATATAATTTTTCAATGTATTAATTCTTGCTGTGTAACAAAAACCTTTGCAGCTTCGAACAGCAAACAATGATCACCTCACAGTTTCCATGGGCTACCCAGGTGTGGCTTAGCTGGGTGCCTCTGACTCAAAAGGCCACTGTCAAGATGTCAGCCAGGGCCATGATGACCCTAAGGGTCAAATAGAGGAGGATTTGCTTTCAAGCTCACTCTTGTGGTTGTTGACAAGATTCAGTTCCTTTTGGACTGCTGGGCTAAGGGCCTCAGTTCCTTACTAGCTATTGGCAAGAGGCCTCCTTAAATTCCTTGCTGTATTAGTCTCTCCATAGGGAAACTCATAACATGCTAGTTGGCTTCATTGAAAGAAAGAAAGAGAGAAATTAGACTTCAGAATCTTTTTTAATCCTAAGAATATTAGGAGGTGGGATCACTGGGAGACATCTTAGAAGCTGCAACCTCAGTCCTTAAACAACCTGTACAAATTTGGGGTGCTCCAGTCGTGTGAACTTGCAGGAGTGTGGGGAGTTAGGAGAGTGAGTCAAGGAAGGGGGTTATGTCTGTGGATGCTGAGGACAGGGCTCTCCATGGAAGGGTTAATAGTCGGCCTGGTATGTTTCTAGGACGTGTGCAATATTTCACTCCCTGATAGGAAAATAACTGCTTCTTGACAGATTCTCAATGGTGAAAAGTGAGCCTACGCCAACCCCTCACTAACCCACACTCCGCAGAAACAAGTCTACAGTGCAGGGGAAAATTATTTTTTCACCTGTGTTACAGCAGATGTCCTAACTTTTCTTAGATTCCAAGTAATAGAAGAAAACCCTGAATGGTTTTCTAAGGAATGGGATCATTTATCCCCTTGCTTGGCACCCAAGCACCTTACCTACCCCACTCTCTGTAACACCCTACACTCACCTCCCAAGGATCTGTAAATCTATATGCATATATAGAGTCCTCTGAGTGAGCTGTGGCTGGTATGGCTCAGTGAATTGAGTGCCAGCCTGTGAACCAAAAGGTTGCCTGTTTGATTCCTATTCTAGGGCACATGCCTGGGTTGCAGGCCAGGTCCCCAGTAGAGGACACGTGAGAGGCAACCAGTCATTGATGTTTCTCTCCCTCTCTTTCTCCCTGTTTTCTCCTCTCTAAAAATAAGTAAAATCTTGGAAGGAAGGAAGGAAGGAGGGACCCTTTAAAAACAAACAAAAAAAATTTTTAAGTCCTCTGAGTGAAATGGAAAATGTAGCTGTGGAAGGGTAAGTTTTGCAGAACATCTAAAATGTATATTGCTAAAGTAGTTTCAGCCTTTGTCCATGTAGAATAAAATACATTCCTTCTACATATTTTCTAGTCACCAAAAAACCCCATTGAAAAGGGGTTCTAATAAAACAAACTCAAACTCGATCTATTTAACAAATGCTGAGTCTTCCCTGTGTGGGGATCACAGAGAACATCCAGATAGCTTAGACCTTAAAACCACATCATGCGTTCCAGGAAGATAGCTGGGGACTGGAAGAAAGGCCGTTATCCAGAGAACCTTTCGACTATTTTGTTAGTGTCAAGTTTTTTAAAGTTTTAGAAAAAATTATGGCGTAAAAAAAATTGAATTTGGGTACCTTCTCATCTGCCTTGCTTTGTCACTCTCCTTGACCCCCGAAGCATCCCCATCTTCCCCAGAGCAGTGCCTCGTGATGAGTAATTACTTCGTCCTCCTTTATCCCCTTCTCCACTCACGCCTGCAGTCCGTAAACCCATCCTCTTTGTACGAAGGAAAGGAACCGAGTAAACTAATTCATACCGAGATGAGAGTGAGTGATATATAAAACAATACGTTATATCCGCAGTGTTTCAAAAGAATACTCAGTAACAGGGATCTCTGAATTCATAAAATGTCAGTTCAACAAAGAATGGTTTAATTCCCCTTTTCAATTACAGTTTATATTCAACCAAGTATGGTTTTTTAAGAAGTGTCAAACAAAGTTAGAGATTTTTTTTCTTAAATTAGTCAGTTTTCTCCAGCAGGTTTCAAATGTTTATGATTTGTGATTCTTTTCCATGGAACTCTAAACCAGATAAGACCTAAGATTGTAAACAGCCCAACTTTCCCTTTGGGTCTTTTGCTATTGAAAAGTAGTTTGGTCCTGGCTGGTGTGGCTTGGTGGATCCTCATGTGCGGGCCTGCAAACCAAACAGTCGCCAGTTCAGTTCCCAGTCAGGGCACCCACCTGGTATCCAGGTACTCAGTTGGGGGCGTGTGAGAGGCAACCAATCAATGTATCTCTCACCCGTCGATGTTTCTTTCCCTCTCTCTCTCCTTTGCCCTCTCTCTCAAAAAAAAGTAAATTAGTAAAATCTTTACAAAAATATATTTTTAAAAAGTAGTTAGACTTTTCTTACACAAGTGAGTTTTAAGGAGTGCTCCGATGCTTCTACTTGTTTCTAAAAGGGAATATTTTCTCTGCCCCAGCTTGAGGTGCTGCTTATTTAAAAGGAGGAAAGCTAGTTTTCCAAGCCCTTTCTTAAGAGGATTAATGGGAATTGATGTGATAGGAAAGGAACTCTGCAAATACAGGATAGGTGAGCTTTTAGTCCATGTTTGAAACAAATTAGTAATAGTAATAATAGCCATTCAATATAAAGATATCATATCTGATGTTCAAATTGTAGTTCCTCGGTTGAGAAAGAATGAATTGTTTTTCCCTTCAAACTCTTTAAGAGTGTTGCAAAAATGAGTACAATATGAGAGTTTGCTGGCTTCCTATTTGTTTTTCTCCCTCTCATTTGAGTGCATTTTTAAAAACATAACAGGACTATGTATAGAGAGAATATTCAGTCATTTATTGTAGTGCTTCTAAACAATTTGGTAACATTGAGTCTCTGCCCATTTAATCGCATTTACTTTTTGTTGGGGCGAGGTAGAGGACCCCAGAGTTCAGAATACAGCACCAGCATTTACAGAAACATTACAGCCTAGCCCACAGAGTACAGAGGTTACTACGGGGCAAGCTGCTGCTTATAACTGTCCCCCACCCCGCCTCCCAGTTCGTCCTGCTAATCTTGTGTCATTTCCCAGGACAGGCAGCCTTGGGTGGACTCCAACTTGTGGCCTAGACAGGATTTGTGCTTCGTTTTTCTTTTTCTGATTTTGAAGTTGGAATGTCCTCTTCACCCTACACATCAAGGGTGTGTAGGGTTCTTTTTGTTTCCAGTTTTCACTGATTCCTTTGTGGGTTTGGGCTTTGATTTAACCTAAAGTATTAGAAATAAACACAAATCATGGCATTAGACCATGGACTGACAAGACAGGACAGGGCTAGTGTTACATTTTTATAAACCTTCTCATTCTAAAAGGTATCTAAGGTGGCTTATACAGATTGTAAAACAAGCCATAAAATTGCTGGGTGAAAGGAAAATAAGGACAGGGAAATCAATTTAAACCTGGATAAGGTTAATACTCAGAATATATCTTTACGTCCTTGGCAATACCTTACAAAGTCACTTGCAAATTTGACTTGGAGCTTCCTAGCAGCCAACAAAGCAAAAGGAAACACAACAAACTACAAGATTCATATGTGAGCCAAATTAAAAACAAACCAGGGGTCAGTGCTTCTCAAACTTCAACGTGCATCTGTATTGCCCATGGTGCTGTTAAAAAGCAGGTTCTGGTTCAGCAGGTCAGTGGTGCGTACTAACCAGCCCCCAGGTGCCACTGATGCTGATGCAGCCCCCATTGGACCATTCTTTGCGTGACAGAGTCCTAGCTCATTGTAAGTGTGCATTTACAAAGTCTGCCCCCACTTGAAAATACATAGCCATATTTGGTTTGCAGGTATTCTAGGTGATTCCAGAATATACCAAATATGGAGCTCTAAGATTTCTAACTTAATTTGCATTTGATGTATTTAAAACATCTAAACATCTATCTAACACTGAGGGACAGTAATTATTCTTATCTTCTAATTTAACTGTGTTATTTCAAACCTTTTTTAAAAACCTTTATTTTAAAACAAAGTAGTTTGGGGAGACTTTCTTTTGCCCTTGTAAACAATACAATAAAAGACCACATTGTAATAATGTTCTGGCGAATCTGATTGTTGACCAAAGGTACTGTTTACTGTTGTTCTTAGAACTAGCAGTGGTTATGGGCACTGGGTCTAGTGTGAGCTTCAGAGAACCCAGATTTTGACTGCCCTGTGCCAGCTGCATCACCCTGGGCAAGTCACGAGTCCTCTCTGTACCTCAGTGCTATGGTCTACCTAATAGGGCTAATGGGAGAATCTGTTACGAGTACTACTAGCTACTATTAGAATAGTGCCTCCACTCAGTGAGAATTAAATAATGTTGGCTATTTGTTGTCATTACATTTAAAGTCAATTTTCCTGGTAGTGAATGTGAATGATAAATACAACCACCCCCTCAGTTGCTCATTTTGCGTAAGCGCCTTAAAAGACTAGATCTAGATTTGCAATTTTCTTTGTGATCCTTGAGTAGAACACACCAGATCAGTGTAAGATGTTGTCTATATTAAGAGGCATTTGAATTTTGTCCTGTTGGAATCTACGTCTGCTGCCAACAAGTCACTGAAGGAGGTAAGAGGCACCAACCTTTTCCCGGAGTTTTTTAATGAGGGTATCTCGTTTGTGTGGTTGTTTTTGCTGCATTTTCACTTCACCAAATAGTTCATCAGTTCTTTGGCTCTCTCTTTGCACAGAGGGCTAGAGGAGAGTATTAAAACACAAGGAAAGGAAGAGAAATTATTTTGAAATTGCCAAAATAGGTAGGCATGCTTTCTCTGTATAAAGCTGTTTTAGCAGTTGTATCAGCAGAACCAGGTACTAATTTCCTAGCCTGTCTGCTTCAACCCTGTGCATGTTGCCTGTGGTCAGCCACAAACCATCACTTGTGTCTCAAGCTATGAGAACACTAATAAAATAGAACAACCAATTTCTTGGTATTTTATCTTCTCCCTTTCTGATATCTACATCCAAGGAAATTTTAAGGCCTTCCTAAACCCCAAAGTACCGACCATGTCATTTAAAACATTAAGATGCACCCACTTCCTCGTTTGTTGTAATATTTTATATATAGTTTTATAACAGTCTATAAAGTTGCATGGTGGGGAGATTTACATCTGTAGGTGAAATTCAGTAGAATTGTTAATTAATTGTGAAAATGTTGGGTTTGTTAAGCATTTAATTTAAACTTCATGAATTTTGGTTTCGAGCTTTTACTTTTTGGGTTTTGGAGTTGATTCTTTTTGGACATTTCAGATGTTTTTGTGGGGTCGTAAAAGTCCATAGACTTTAGGCTCTGTGTTGATCAACCTGAGAGAAGTACAGCCTTGTTCACAACCCCGTCCCAGCTCCAAGGGGGAACTCGTTGGACACTTGCAAAGTGGTGACAAAGTGGATTGCAGTGACTAGCTGGCCCCGGAGGAAGATCATTTTGTCATTTTCCGAGGGGCCGTGAGAGAGAGATGGGAGAGGGCATACCCGAGAAAAAGAGAGACTGGGGTAGACAGACAGGCAGAGAGGCAGAGGCAGACACGAACGCAGGTTAGAGACAGATGGGCAGACGCGGAGAGTCGGAGACAGAAAGCGAGGGAGGGGTGGAGAGAGACACCCAGAGGCACTGATGGATTCCCTAAGCGACACACAAGGGGACGCCCCCAACCCTAGAATTTATTCTTTGAAACGTGTGTATTTATTCTTACATGTTTAAACTTCAGTCACCTACAAAGTACTCTCCACTGGATGCAATACACCTATTGAGACATTTTTTCCTCTGCTCAAAGCAGATTTTGAACTTGTCATTTTTATGCCTTTTTGTGCTTCTGCCATTTTTTGTTTCATCTCTTCCATATCAACAAAATATTTTCCTTTATGGACTTTTTTCATCCAGGGAAACAAAAAAAGTCCCTTGGGGTGAGATTGGGTGAATAGGGAGGGTCAGGTACAGGGGTCATGCCATTTTGGTAAAATTCTCAGTGCAGGTTGGGCAGGTGCTCTGGTAAGTCACCTATCATAAAATGGGTAAATGTATTGAAAGAGTCTTCAAACAAATTCACAGAAGCTGAACCCAGCCTCTCACAACAGCACCGGCTGGTACACAGATACAGATGGGTTCCTAGAACACTCACCTAGCCAGGGAAGCCTGTACTACAAGGGGCCTACCCTCCCAAAGATAATAACAGGGTTTTTTTGGTTCCCCCTCATATATTAAGACCTTATAGTTCTGCAGAGTGTTTAGAATTATATTTTAAAGTTTACTCAGCAGTTTTACACGGTCCTGATAAGCAGATATTTCTCCTTTGTGTCATATTCTGCAGTTTATAGCAAAGCACTTGTCAGGTGTCACTGAACTGAAACTTAATCCCAATCTTTTTGATATAGGTGAGGAAATTGACTTGTCCACCTTACATTTGTAGAGCATTCTGTAATTTTTAAAAGGACTGTTCCACCCATTATCTATTTGGTAAGGGCCACTAATCACAGCTCTCCATACAAGCCCATCTTCCCTCATATAACAGCAGCTTCAATTATGGGTGTTATTGACATTCAAAAGACAGTGGAGATACCACAGGCCACAAAATCAGCAAATTTTTATTTTGTTTTTTAAAAAGTATCTATTTGGTATTAGTACCTTGTTATAGCTTCTGTACTGAAATAAGAGAAAGAAAACCAAAACTGACACCAATTCCATTTCAAAATCAAATCTACTTTTTTCATTTCCTCATATCATCTTCTAACCCTGACCATCCACAAATATTCAGGTTTGGGATATTTACAGCCCTGCCATAGATAACATTTTATATTCTGAATATTCACTCAACATGATGCAATGAGTACAGGCCATTTAATTCACTTCAGTCTCACATTCAAAGAGGGACATAAGAAGCACCAAAGATTGTTTGACTTTGAACAACTACAGTTAATCCTTTGTCTCTCGTTGGGAACCCCAAGGCTCTGTAAGTAAAATGTTCTCAGAGAATAGAAAGCTACCTTTTTGCTTTATGACATGACTGAGTGTTCTTCCCTCCACTCCTTGGGAGCAAGTGACACAAATTTCTTTTATTCAAAACCTGGTTGAGGTTGCCATTACCGGCAATGGAAGGTAAATAAGCGTTTGCATCACGTGGGGTTAATCTGCATCGCCCCTCTTCTTGACCAGGCTTTCTCATGGCAGAAGTAACTCCTGTCATGATCTTCCTTTGGGGTCTATTTGGCAAGAGGATGATATTTCTATTTAAAATAGTGATAATAATATTAAAAATATTTCATTTCCAATAAAATAATAGTCAAGTAAAATATCATAATGGTCTACTCACCATGATGGCGTCCATCACCTGTGTCAGGGAGAGCCCATCTGCCTTGAGGAGCACAGCATCCTCCATCTTCCGCTCCAGCAGTTCCAGCCTCTCACTGAGTTTCTCTCTGCACTGTATTCCCACCACCAGCTGATGCTGGAGCTCAGCGACCAGCTGACGGAGGCCTTCACTCCTCCTGTCGAGCTGCTCAGCTCTCCTCTCCAGGTCTTCGCCCTTTCTCTCCTGCCGGCTAACTTGAGTTAGAAGCTCGACTAAAGAGGTGTTCAGCGTGTCCAGTTGTTTAAACAGGTGGCCAGTGTGGTTTTTGCTGTTGCTCACTTGCATCTTGAGCTCCATTCCAAGCTGTAGAAGCCCCTGGGAGAGAATATTGATGTCATCTTGGGAATAAGTGGCAGGAGCATGACATTCTCTTTGTTTCTTTGCACTGGATAAAGAATAGGCTAAGCTGAGGAGGAACCAAACTGATGCCTTTTTCATTATGGCTTTGAAAGATTTCAAGGTCCCTTGGGATAACCTGTTTTCAGCAAAGAAAGTAGAAGACTATCCTAAGACAGTAAAGAACAGAAACAGTTTGGTCAACGACTTGATCTAAGAATGATTAAATCCCACCAGTTAACCTCTGACTTCCTGGAGTTGCTAAATCATAGCAGGATATAAATTAGTTAAGAGGCTTTTGCTGAATCAGTGGAAAGAATGTGGAGTTTCCAAAACAGTTTGTAACCGAGAGAAGCCATCTGAAGCAGCTCTGGGAAGAACATTGTTGATAAATACCAAATGTTCTGTTCTGTGTTGCGGTGCATATGACTGGAGAAACAGTTTTTCTTGGGGGAAGGTGAGCGTGTACCAACTGCCTCGCATCCACGCTGGACCTATAGTTCCTAAAGAAGCTTTCAAAATAATTCTGTTATACCAAGTAATTCCTGTTTTGGTTATGGGCTATCCTCTCAAAAGTCACTAGGTATAATTCTTAGGGTTTTCTCTAGCCAATATGAGACCTTAATTTACCACATATAAAATATATGAGCCTATTCCTCAGTTTGTTAATAATTACTTTTAGCTGCTTTAGGCTCTATGGATTATGGCCCATGAAGGCAGGTATCTTCCCTCCCAATAGAAAATATTATTTTATTTATATTCATGTCTTCAAAAGCTGCAGATTTAACAAAACATGTCACTTAGCATATTTGCCATTAAGAAATATAATGATTTTTTGGGAAAATGCATCTTCCTAAAAAAGTGTTTAGGCAAAGTTATTTAACCACCCTGGGAGTCAGTTTCCTAGCCTGCAGAAAGGGATGTGGGACTAAATTCTCTCAACACTTCCCTGTAAATTCTCTCAGCTCTGCACTTGGAGGAAAGTGTATTCAGGACCAGGAAGGACACTGAATGTGGTGACACTGAATTGTTTGAGCTTGGGGTCGGTTGCCCCTTTGGAAGCAAAGTGCAGAATTGTCGCCAGTGTTGGCGGACGTGTGAAACAGGTAGCTGGTGCCCTGGCATTGGGCTGAAGGAGAGCAGTGCCGTGGCAGTGAACTTGCTTAACCAGTCTGGCAGGGCCACTGCTGTTGTGATTCACACGGTCCCTTTCATCTAGCTACTTCAAAGCATTTCTGCCCACTGTGGCTCATTATTTCTTCAAGCACAGCATAAAGAAATGTTGACTGGTGGTGTATTTTCAATTAATTCAAAGATGAAGAACTATGTAGAATTAAATGGGATTCTTAAAGGATACTACATTGCCGAAGGGCAGGAGATACATATATACAAAGTGTTTATCACAGCTTTATAATTTCTTTAAAATGAAATCATCTCAGTGCTTGTTTTTGGAGACTAGTATAAATTATGGCACATTTATAATAGGAGATATCATGCAGCCACTAAAATCATGGTTATTAAAAATATTTGCTCTCACCCTGGCTGGTGTGGTTCAGTTGGTTGGAGCATCATCCCGTAAGCTGGAAGGTCATGGGTCTGATTCCTGGTCAGGGCACATACCTAGGTTTCAGGTTCGGTCCACAATCGAGGTGTGTACAAGACACAACTGATCAGTGGTTCTCTCTCACACCCATGCTTCTCTCCCTTTTCCTCTCCCTCTCCCTCTCCCTCCATTCCCCTCTCTCTAAAATCAATAAGCATGTTCTTAGGTAAGGATAAAAAAAAAAGGATATTTGCTTTTTACATAAGTGGCTTAAGACGACCTCTGAATGGTTTGCTATTCACTTGACCCAGAAAACCCCACAAAATCATACAAATCAAGAGGTTCAAATCTTTGTGTTCACTTTAAGAACACTTGTGGAACTGCCCAGGCCATCAAGAGTATGTGTATCCAAAAAGTCACCAAGTATCTGAAAGATGTCGCTTTGAAGAAGCAATGTGTGCCATTCCATCTATACGATGGTGGAGTTGGTTGAGTGTGCCCATGCCAAACAGTGGGGCTGGACATGGTGGCCCAAAAAGTGTGCTGAATTTTTCCTGCACACACTTAACAATGCAGAAAGTAATGCTGAACTTCAGGGTTAAAATGTAGATTCTCTTGTCATTGAGCATATTCAGGTGAACAAAGGTCCCAAGATGTGGTGCAGAACTTACAGAGCTCGTGGACATATTAACCCACACATCTCTCCCCGCCACGCTGAGTTGATTATACTGAACAAAAGTAGATCAATGACACAGCAATTCTACTTGGGGAGTATATCCCAAGAAACCCAAAGCACTGAATTGAAAGAATATATGTAGCTCTATGTTCATTGCAGTGTTATTTCCAGTAGCCAGTATTTGGAAGCAGTCCAAGTGCCCATCAGTAGATGAGTGGATAAAAATGCTGTGGTACATTTATTCCCTTGTGGTACAGTGGAATACTACTCAGCTGTTAAAAAAAAAAGAAGGAAATCTTACCTTTTGCAACAGCATCAATGTACCTGAAAAGTATTATCCTAAGTAAAATAACCAGTCAGAGGAAGACAAATACCATATGATTTCATTTGTACATGGAATCTAGTGAACAAAATAAACTAACAAACAACACAGAAATGGAGTCACAGACACAGAGAACAGACTGACGGCTGTCAGAGGGGAGGGTGTTGGGCTGGACACAGACAACAGTATGGTGATTACAAGAGGAAGGTTGTCTCTCATACATGCTCCAATGGGGGACCAGATCCACAGCCCAGGCATGTGCCCTGACTGGGAATTGAACCAGAGACCTTTCGCTTTGAGGAATGACACCCAACCAACTGAGCCACATGGATCAGGGTGCCAGTTTATTCTTTCTTTCCTGTGCTTGCCAAGCACTCAAATTTTTTTAATGGGTACAAATTATTTTATAACCACATATTACTTTCATCATCACATGTATTTATACTGATCTTATTATTATGAAGGAGAGAGAGAATGTGTGTGAGTGGAATGAACCGGTTAAATAGGATGACAGGAAAGACCGCTTTGAGGACATAACGTGTGTGCTGAAATGCAAGCAATGAGAAGGAATCAGTCACAGAGCGAACTGAGAGAAGCAGTTCTAGGTAGAGAGAGCAGAGGGCACAAGGTAAGAATAAATTCAGAATGTTTTAGGCCTTCAGAAAGGCCACTGTGGGAAAGTGATGAATGGTAAAATCAGAGAAATTGCCAAAGGCCAGATCATATAGGCCTATGATATGAAATTTGGGAAACTCTTGTAGGACCTGGCATAACCTATTTTACACTTTTGCAAGACCCTTCCAACCAGTATGTAAGGGATAGATTGTAGGGGCATGTGTGGAAATGAAAAGATGAGCTGGAAAATCTTTGCAGTGGTCCGGGTGAGAAACAGGGGTGGTTCGGACGAGGGCGTGTAGATTGGAGTGTGTAACTTATTAGCATTATGAAGAAGTAGTCGTCATTTAGCTATCACTTATTAAGCTCTTACTCATTAATGCCCACCACAGCCCTAGGAGGCAGAGACAGTTTTTCACCTCACGGGAGCTTTGGAAAGGCTAAGTACCTTGCCCAAGGCCAGCTCTCTGGCTCCAAAGCCAACACCCTTAACCATTCCCTGACACTGCCGCTCGGAAAACACTAGCGCTGTGCACTAGCAGATGAACAAGAGTTAGAGAGGGGTCCATAGCCCACATAGACCCCTGCACCCAACTGTGAACTGCCTTCTGTCACTACCACATCCATGTCCACTCCTGATGGCATCTGAGGTCCCCCTATACCTACCTGCATCAAGGCAGAGCCCCCTCAGTTTGACAGAGGATGACTGTGAAGGTGTCACTAAGACAGCCACACTGTAGAGTCCAAAAAGCAGTACTGAACTGGATCCTGTGCCCACTCTGTGGCTAACTCGGAGTGAACTGTCACATTACCTCTCGGGGCCTCAGTTTCTCATCTTTAAAACTTGGGGCTTGGACTAGCTGCCTCCCCCCTCGCACACCCAGAATTCTATGCTAATCCCTCCCTTGTGTCACAGCCTGGCATCTGCTTTTCCTGGGAGGCCATCTACATGTCACTGATATTTGATATTCAGTATTCTGCCCGTCATCTGAATTTAATTTATTTCCCTTTGATGAAATTGTTGTCCTGTATTTATCTTCTTTGTCACCAGAATGTAGGAAGTGGTCAATGCTGTTGTGACCACTTTAGCCAGTTATGACCCTGTTAAAAAAGAACAACAGGACCACATGGTAGCTAGACAGAGCTGGACGTGAAGACCAGCAAGTGAGGGAAATGTGGTCCCAATCGCTACTATGCCAGGGTAATGACATGCGAGAGGCAGGGTGGGCTAGACAGGTCACAGGATACAGCAGCTCACGTCTGTTCCCACCACTGTGTCTCCCCTATTCTGCCCCCAGCGGGTTACCACTGTAGAGAAACCGTGCTCAAGTAAGATGTAGAAATGCTATTTATTTGCCTCCATGGCCTTTGAACTTGTACGGGCAAAGAATAGCAGCTCCTGTGTTCTTGGCAGTTTTCAAAGATTTTTTTTCTCCTTGAATACGTGAGAGCATTCATTATTGTGCAAGGTATTTCACTAGAGAATTCTTGTGCTCTAACTCTTCCTACCTTGATGTGGAATGTTCTTCTGTAGCTATAAAAGCTATTTCCGTTTTTTTCCCCAAATGATTTCTGAGAATGTTAAACTTGTGAAATAGACTATGAAAGAATAAATCAATGAAATGTGTTCTGAGGTCAAAAACTTGGGGAAAAGGGCAGAGTCTCCCCCCTCTAAGAGATTCACAAGGCACATTCACCTGTTTACCTTGGTTTACACAGCCTTTTCCAACAGCATTCCATCACCCACCCCTCCTCTTCCCTACACACTTGCTAACACCTTGCAGAGCTCTGAGGTTTTGTGGAATAGGCTGAGAAATGCAGGTTTGTGGTGATACCCAGTGTAAGACTAAAGTTTTTATAAGATTCAGTTAAATACATATCTTTGCTTTTGACAATAATAAATTGCATGAAATATTTTACATAATAAAATTTTAAACTCTACAAGTTCATCTAGATTGGAATATGAAAAAAAAAGGACCTGATTCCTAGACCCTCTAATCTAGTATCTGCTTAGCTCATTAAAAATTCATTCATATTCACATTCATTTTTTTATCTATCAAAGATTTA